GTTCATACTGTGCACACATAAATACTGTATACTGCAGAAATAGTTGGAGGAGCAAATTACAGAGTGAAAATGTATCAATGCAGTGAAAGCTAAGTCATCTCAAAAGGAGAACAAAGTCGATCCATTAGTAACCCAGTCGCAGTGAAGGCTGTGTGTTTGGAGCTGCCAGCTGAGAAGCTGAGAGTTTCCTGCTCTCCCAGGGAAGCTGGCTCATGCCTAAAGGGCTCTTTGTTGGACAAGGTGTGTGATCTGAGCAGCCACTGAGCTCGGTACAAAACCACACTTTCAAAATGTCCTGTTCCTGTTAGCCCCGGAGGTGTGTTCTTCCACACTTAGTACAACACATACGCACATAAGAGCACTATCCCAGCAGGTGCCAAAGTTTTCCTACAAACATGCCTTTCTTGGGCATAACTACTAAAATGACTTATATTTCGAATAACTGTTGGTAAATCTTGGTAAATCTTAATCCTGAATATTGCATCTTCATAAATAATTAAACATTCATAAATATTATGAATTCATTCATCTTATGATTTTTCATAGATATTTAATAAATAATGGAATATATTTAAAAGAACATGCAATTTTTATGGTATAAGACATAATCAAGGTATTACAATGCCTTAAAGGTACAGTTGACCCAAATATTAAGATTCTGTAATCATTTACTCACCCTCGTGTTGTTAAAACAATAAGACTTTTGTTCATCTTCGTAACAAATGACAAATATTCTCTCATAATTCTTGTCCATACATTGAAAGTTGACTAATCCCAAGTGGCAAAAAATTCATAAAGACATTGTAAAAGTAATCAAATGGTTTAGTTTAACTGTAAAGAGACATGAATGCTGTATATAATGAACAGATTTAATTTAGACTTATATTCAACTGTGCATGCTTCACACACAAGAACAAACCTGATGGGTTCTTGTGTGAAGAAAGCATATCATATTTATAATACTGTTAACCATATTAATATTAATATTTAATCTGAGCAAAATGACTTGAATTGATATAAGGGTGAGTAAATGATGATGATGATTTATTAATTTTTTTTAAAGAAAACTTTTTTAATTTGCTTATTCAGCCTTGAAGCAAAGACATCAAATCTCTTCCTGTATTCTGTCTCATTGAAATCATTGTGTTTTAGCATTCATTCGTTCTGTTTTGGAGTAGCTGGGCATTCCATTGACAGTCCCGGGGCAGAGGGCAGTCTTGGTTGCATAATCAGTAGAATGACACAACAGTGTGTTGATAGCAAGCATTTTGGCACAAGTCTTTATAAATCATTAACTGGGCATGCTCGAGGTTCAAGCATTTTGGCATTCTCACATGCTCTACGCCTCTCAGTGTCTTCCAGGATCATAGACGCTCCATGTTCCAGTAGTTCGCCTTCTGTGTGGTTCCTGGACACTGGACTACAGACAGACTCTCACGGCTGCTTTGACAGTAGTAGGATGGTTTTTATCTACTGCTAATATTTGCACCGCGGAAAGGGAATTTGCTTAACTGATCAGTTGAAACGAAAAGAGCGCTTATCAGTTCTCAGCATATTTGGGTGTCGGTGTGGCATTGAAAGTAAAAGAGGTTTTGTGGTATGATGTTTGGGGCCTAGTTTTTGAAATACGGCTGAAATATGAATACTTTTGACTTCAAAGGAGGTTAATGGTTTACCAGTTTCCCCCTTCAAGGTCATGACAGAGATTATTCTGAAACAAGATCTATAGTTATATGTTACTGTCTGTGCTTACATTGTTTCATAACAACTTGGAGAAAACAACTTAATTGCTTAGCAATGTCATAGAGCAAATAATTGTTGGTTAGTTTGCTTCAATACATTACATTTCTCATATTTCAACAAGTTTGTACGGTACTGAATATGCTGTTGACCTGTTTATACAGTAAGTAAAAAAAAATTGTCACCGCTGCTTCACCTCACCCACCACCCAAAAACTCTTAAAAGCTTTTAGTTAGTCAATTAAAAGTGTGATAATTTGAAGAAAAACTTGAAAATTTTCTTTAGAGAGTAGTATTATTAAGGTTAATGATTTGAAATATTTTCTGTTCAGTTTACACTTTTATTTTTCTCTCTCCAAATGTTTTGATTAATTAATTAACATTGATTATTTTTTGACTGGCTATGTAATGTGTGTAAACACATCTGTGATTTGGAAATGTAGATATGCAGACATTTCTAGATTTCTGTGTACGTGGTTGTTGATTATCTGAAGGTATTCTCTTACTGCTTTTTTAGATTGCCCGTCCCCTGTTCTACTTTATTATGTAATGTCAGCTGATAGAGTTTTTAATGTTGTGTTTTTATGGTCAGAAAGGAGGAGTTCAGTCTAATCAACCAGAGTGATCTTGACTCAGGCTCGAAAAAGATAGGCCTATGTTTATTACTGCAGTGTGACATAATATATTATCACATTGACCTTTTAAGCATTGCAACTTTAATGAAAACACTGATTATATTTCCTTAAATGTACATCTGCTTGTTTATGACATCATGATGAGCCTACAGTACATTGTGATCTTAAAGGTTCTGTAGTCTTTTTTATGGCCCAACCATTTGAAACATTGATCCAGTGCTTATATAGTTATACTAGTTGTCAACCATATGGTTATATTAACTCAACAATGCAAACTCAATTTTAGTTAATATTGAGTTAATATGGTTTCTTAGCTTTTTCAATACATTCTACATAATTTTTTCAGTGTATTTACTTCTTGTTCTGTCTGCCATAGCAGCGTTTTGGCTACTAAGTAATTCTTTCATGTGTTGGTGATTGATATGCTGCTTAACCAAACATGCAATCATATTAATGCCAGAACTAGTGTTGTGATACAACACATTCTCACTTCTAAGGCGTCAAATATTGCGGCCCTGTTGATGCCAAAGGTGTTGTCAACCCACTGGTGTTGTTATACTGACACACAGCAGGGCTTGTTCCATCACTATGCTACTTGCTCATATTGACTATTACCGGTATATAATTACATAGCAAAACATTCTCCTGCTTCTATGTAGGGGTGCTCCAATTGATCGGCTACCGATCACTATCGGCCGATAATCACGTTGGGATGTTTGATCAGCGGTCTCTAAAAAGGCAGATCTAAAAAAAAAAAACAATCTCAAGCTTATGACGCTGCCATGAGAGGTTTGGCATGACATGCAGCGGCACGTCTCAGTCTCTGTCCGGCGCAGATGAAATAATTATAATGCTGAAGGTGAGGTACTCACCTTCATATTTCTTAATTAAATAGCTTATAAAGTGATTTGAAAACCTTGTGTGAGACGTAATTTCACAAACAGTATCAGCGTGTGCACTCTCTCTCAAAATACGCAAATGTCTTCAAATCACCACACATAGCATCTGTCTATAAGCCAGCTGCACGCTGTACAGTTGACACAGTTATTGTCACTTGCACAATCGGGGTAGTTTCACATCATCACTAAAGTTTATAAATTTCATTACTTTTTAATTCTTGCCCGTGTTTAACCATTCAGCGCTCGCATGCTCTCCTGGAGACCGTGTACTTATGCACACTCGCAGTGCACACACATAATGCCAGGTTCACATTACTCTGTTTGCAGTGCGTATGTGGTGTGTATTTTTTCCGCGCTCATGTTAACGGATTAATAAAGTGTTCACACTGCACACGGATGGGCGATTTTTATTTAAGTTCTTTTGGACTGAAGCAATGCAACACCCGCTGAGTGGCATTAAACAGCTTGAAAGATCAAAGACAATTTTGAATATAACTCCGACTGGATTCGTCTGAAAGAAGAAAGTCATATACACCTAGGAGGCCTCGGGGTTGAGTAAAACACAGCCTAATTTCCATTTTTGGGTGAACTAACCCTTTAATATATAAATATATAAGTAAATGCAAAAGTAAAAAGCATTGAATAATGTGTTGCTTATATTTATTGTGTTTAAACATGTCTGTGAAAGATTGTATTACTGTACTGTGTAAAAAAAGAATTGCAATGCTGAAAAAGCATTTTCAGTGACAATGTTAGGATTTGAAATCAAAATAATGGATAAACAGCCACGGATCAGTAGCAGACTCCTGTGTGAAAGCTGCTTCCCCTCTCACAAGAGTCACCTAAGAGGGGAATTCCCCCCATTTTCAAAAATGAAATTTAGGCCCTGAATAAATGGCTAAAAATCCTGATTGGAGCATCACTATAAATAGTTATAAATAATAAAAAGAAGGCTTTAAAAAGATCGGTATCGGTGATCATATCGGCAGATACTGCTTTCTGTGATCGGGCTCAAAAATCCTGATCGGAGCACCCCTACTTCTATGTTTTCATATGCATTTGTCATAAAACTGCACAGTTTCCATTGCCATTATTTTCTTTTGGGTGGTGTTAATTTGTTAGGTTGCAGCCTTGGTTGTCAAAATACAATACAAATACAATACTCACATTTGATTTAAGTCTGATTGAATCATATAAACAACTGTTTTGTGATGGCTTCATCTCTTTTCAGTTAATTTTGGCATTAGGTTGAGGCAAAGGAATCACATCATCACGTTTTCTCAGTGGGTTTTAGGTTGAGACAACATAATGGCACCTTTGCGTGACATGCACCAACACTTGACACTTTGAGAATGAGAAAATGCTCTTTGATATGCATAAATTTGTTTATGATCAGTAAACAATCAAGTATTATATCACTGGTGGAATTTCAGGGCATCCCATTATATACATTCCGCTTATCAGGTACTATGATAATGTATGATAGTGCCTGAAGGGTGACCTTGAATTTAAAAGCAATCAGTCTTTCAGTTATGATATCAGGTTTATTCTAGTATCAGCCTCCAACAGCAGGCTAAGTATGAACTTTCTCATACATGCATCCTGTGTAGTAATTGGCAGAGATTGTCTGACGACCCGTTTCTGTGTAACTTCATTGCCATACTTTAAACACCACATAAACATTGAACCTAATCCTTACTTATTGCTCCTCTGATTTTATTCAACAGGAGGAGAATGAAGGCCAAGGCCCCCCCTCCACCTCAACCCCCTCAGCCTGCCCCCCGCAGGATCTTCCGTAATGCCGTTCCTGATGGAGGAGGATCTTCAGGGGGAGACAGCAAGGAAAACATGCTTCGACCCTCTGTGGCTCTCCATATCAGTCTGCCTTCAGGGTACCAGACCACCGTCAATGTGGATGGCAGGTGAATACGCTCATTGCACTGACATTAACTTAAAGCTGCAGTCCGTAACTTTTTTTTTTTTGCCCCAAAGGCACTCCCCGCCCCCCTTGAAGGTAAAGTTAATTTTATTTTCTCTATAGCGCCAGATCACAACAGAAGTCAGTTAAAGTTACCTTTCTTATAGAATAGGTCTATACCTCTTTTTTTTTATAAACTAAATAGCCTTATGTTATTTATCTTATTTACATGACGGCATGTCATTTCTGTCTCTACATTACTTGGTCGCGCTCTCTGCATCGCGCACAGCCGAGTTCTGCCCCGATGCGCACACACAAGTGAGCACACTCCCACTCCCATTAGTATTTGTAAATATTAAGCCGCAAAACGACTATTTAAATATGAATTCTGTGTGTTAATGAATGGCGCAGATGCGCGGTTTTGTTTACTACTCGTACTGAAGCGCGCGTGACGCTTCTGGTGATATTAACGTCCGCCGTCTCATTAATGAGGACATAAATACATGAACAACATCTCCAGAACTGCCCTGAGAGTCACTTCATAAGCATTTGACCATTTCATTTAAGTAAAACGGTCCTCATATCATATAAACACAGGAATGTAAAGGTATTCACGGCAACCTGTCAAAATAAAAGTTTGGTTTAACTTGAAGACATTGCAGCAGAAATATATTACTATTGTTCAGTAGAATGTACGTAATAGGCTACTACTACTACTACTAAAATTATTAACCCTCTGGGGTCTGAGGGTGTTTTGGGGCCCTGGAGAAGTTTTGACATGCTGACATTGTGTTTTTTCTCGGTATCTTAAAAACATATTAATGGCTAAAGTCTGATAACACTGTATTCAGCACAAACTGGGCTACAATAATATGTGAGCAGCATGAAAGTACATGTTTGTGTTTTTGAGAAAACAATATTTATGCGTGGTTTGTGAAAAACATAATTTTTTAAGTCACTGAAATAAGGCACATACAGACATAACACATACAGAATATTTGTTCACAAGACTTTTGAGAACTGGATGTGGTAGACTAGAGTTTTTGCTACAAAATGAAGTGAAAATTATCCTGTTCACTCCTTCACAGAAAACAATATATTGATTAAAATTTTCTAAGACACTTTTTGTGTAGAAAGGTTCTATGCGAGAGGGTGTCCCCAATCATGTGTAATGCTGTGATCCACACCTGAGAAGACAAAGGCCTGCATAATGAGCTGCATAATGAGCCTTTCAGTCAGGTGTGTGACTGAGAGGGAAGAGTTACCAGAAAGAATGTGAGGACAAAATAAGTTTATATATTGTTTGTTTGTAGTTTATTTAGAATATATTTAACTATCACACAAAATAACTTGAGATACACTTGTGAGTGCAGTTAAGCAGTTTATTAGGTTTATGTGGTCCCAAGAAAAAAAGCGTACTTGCTTCCAGTCAGTCAGTACACTGTGGTACATATAGTGGTACAGAAGACACATTCATAGCTATACATCTTTGTGCCACTCTAGGAAACAGTTCCTTTTCAGCTGAACACACAAGTGAACATCACATGCCTGGCATGACATTACATGCATGCCGTATAGTGTCCATGAAGGGTCTGACCCTGAAAAGACGGTCGTGTTCAGCTGTGCCCCTCTTTCTGTCATTGTCCTGGTCTGCATCTGGGTGACTCATGTGCAGATTCCATGAAATGGTGCGGTATCTGTCCCTTGACATGATTGTGGCAGGAAAAGGAACAGAGAAAAGACTGTCCTGCCGCCAATAGTCTCTGATGGACCTCAACTTCAGCATGGGCATGTAGAAGAGTAGTCCAAAGTAACAGTACAGCTCACTGATGCTCATGTCTGTCCATTTATATTTATGGCCTTTTGCACATGCCCTGGCAGCCTGAGCATTGGTGTTTCGACACAGAGTTGACACAGCAGTTTCAGAAAAAAACCTTTTGAATAGACTCATGGGAGTGTGTGCATCACATGGTCTTAGCTGTGGTCCAGGTTCCTGTGCGGGCAGGAATCTCAGAGCCTGTGGAGCCATGTCAACATCAGCCTCTGTTTTCCATGACCAAGTGGGCTGCTTATTTGCTTTTACTCTCTTTGCCACAGGTTCTTTTGCACTGCATCCCCTTTCTGTGCGAGATGCAGGTGAAGGCGAGAGTGATGTATTCACAGTCCTAAAAAAGTGTTGTAAACAAATGTTAGCATTTATTTTTCACAGTACCTTAGTATATGCGTACTTGATGAGAAAACAGAATGCCATACTACAGTAAAGTACTTTATTTAATTTGTTGTGGTAATTTTATAGTTGCTGTGGTAATATAACAACTATAGTAATAAAAACAAATGACTTTACCCAATACTGTACTTCGTTTTCTACAACTATAGGGTATATTATACTACAATGCACTGCAGTTTACTGTAGTATTCATTAACAAAGTGTTGTAAAAACTATAATATATGCAGTATAATATTCTTTACTATATAGTATGGTTCAAAAACACTATAGTATTGACTATAAATTACTATAGTATTTTTTCATGTGGGATATAGGCATAACAAAAGTAGAATTTCTATAAACCCATACAGGAAGATTGACTTATTGTGTTATCCCAACCACAAATAATATTACCATATAGGCATAATATAAAAATATAGTCTAAACAATCCAAATTGTAAAAAAATAAATAAATACATAAAACCATGGCTAATTTTTGTAAGATATATATAATATTGTATGTATGTTTATATCGGCCTATAGCATTATATATATATTTATCATTATATAGGCTATATATCATCATTATATATATATATATATATATATATATATATATATATAGTGGCCTGTAAGGAGATATTTCATATTTCAACCAATTTCACTCTGAATAGCTGAATTTAGTCTGACAATAGCCTGTTTGGAAATTTCCAAATTTAGACATAAAAGCCTATAGCGTGCCAACATGCAAACGCGCAGAAAAAGTAAGTAATTATATGATGAAGCTTGACGTTTTATGCCATTTCTCGGGGGCGTGTACATGATTACCTGGCTCGCCTCAGTTCATTTCCATATGAACAGCGCGCTCAGAGCGAGGCGGGAACACATTAGCTATAATGAGGCGATACGGGAGAAACTGGACCACTCCTTACTTTCATACGGATTACATACAAAGAAATTGTTTGTTTTCGACTTGAATTGGTTAATTTAAAAGTAGACATTTCAAGCTTCCTATACATATATTTATCTTGTCTTTGAGGCAAGTATTCGCTGAGATTCGGGTTGTTTTATTTATGTGTCTGTGAAGAGAGGTGACAGAGATAGCAGAGAACGCACCCTGTTTTTTTTTGTTATTCTACAAAAGCACAGTTGTTAAAGTTTTGTTGTTATGAGTGTATACAAATAAAAGTAGACCCTTTACAGATTCGATTGATGTATTGCTCTTATCTGTATGATCAAAACTGAAAGTGTAATTTAAGTTCTTTTCGGCGTTATCAGGAGAAGATGCAACAAAACGCGTATCTGCATTTGTCGACCCCAGAGGGTTAAAACCTTATTTTTAAGGAATAATCACACAATATTTCTTCAATGTTTTAATTGTAATATTAAATCCCCTTTATTTTCCAAATTAAAATGTTTAATTTTCATTAATTAAAAAATAAATGACTGTTTTATGCCTTAAAAAATATAAATACACAACACAGAATTTCTGAGGAAAAAATCATCTCAGGTTACACATGTAACCATGGTTCCCCGAAGGGAACGAGACGCTGCATCCAAAGACTCTATGGGAACGCCCCCAGCATGACCACGCACTGAATCACATGTGTAATCAGTCCAATGGAAGGGCGAGACATCATAGGCGGGTGACGTAGCGACCAGGAAGCTATAAAAGCACGTAAGGTGGAACCGGCGTCAACTTCTAGGAATGAAGCAAGCGCTCGCAGGGATGCCGGAAAGCATACAGACGAAGCCTCGGCCAAGTCTGCACCATAGCATCCAGTCCCAGAGGAGAGCCAGAGGGGACATTGTGATGTCAACTGAGTCGCAAAGATGTCCACTTGAGCCTGGCCAAAAACTCTCCATATCTGCTTCAGAACTCCCAGGAATGTGCACTGCTCTCAGCGAGAGGAATTTGCCCTGGGACCACACAAGGATCTGGTGCGCCAGCTTGTACAAGGGTCGCGAACACAGACCTCCCTGGTGGTTGATGTAAGAGACCACTGCTGTGTTGTCGGTGCACACCAACACGTGACTATCTCTTAGGTCTGGGAGAAAGTATTTGAGTGCTTGAAACACTGCCAGCATCTCCAGGCAGTTGATGTGCCACGTGAGATGGTGGCCACTCCACAGACTGCGGGCAGGGTGGCCACTCATGACCGTCGTCCGTCGCTAGCGTTACACGGCAACAGGGAGCTCCCAACACCGGGCCCTGGGACAAGAACCAAGTTTCTTTCCACACATCTAAGGCACAAATACACTTCCGCGTGACATTGATCTTGTGACGCGTGTTTCCCCTCGGGGAGGGGTCTCATGCAAAGCAGGCCAAAAGCTATAACGTTGGACGCGGCTGCCATCAGACCCAGCAGCCTCTGAAACTGCTTGAAAGTGAGTAACTGGTCTTCTTTTACTCTCTTGACTGCTGTGAGGATCGACTTGATCCGAGCAGGGGAAAGATGTGCCTGCATTGTGGTCGAATCCCACACCACACCCAGATAAGCGGTTCTCTGTAATGTTCTCTTTTCTTGGCGTTTAGTCTCAAACCCAGCTCCCCCATATGAGCAAGAACGACATCTCAATGTCGAACTGCCATCTGCTCCAATTGAGCTAAAATCAACCAATCGTCAATGTAATTCAGTATGCGGATGCCCTGGAGTCGCAGCGGAGCCAGAGCAGCATCCATACACTTCGTAAAAGTGCGGGGTGAAAGTGCAAGGCCGAAAGGAAGAGCACGATATCAGAAGAATCAGAATCAGAATGAGCTTTATTGCCAGGTATGTTTAAGTGTAACAGAATGACAGTGACAGAACAAAAAACACAGATAATAAAAAATAGAACAAGTAAATAAGGAATACAAAATATATAAATTGACAGTTGTATGTGCAGGTATATTACAATAGACAGTTTTTGTATGTACAGGTACTGTATATTATGTGCAAATTTGAGGTGTAGACTGAGTATGTGTGTTAGATAAATAAGTGTATGAGTGAATAAATAGTGTGTGTTCCACAGTTATTGTTAAGTGTTCATGAGATGGATTGCCTGAGGGAAGAAACTGTTCCTGTGTCTGGTCGTTCTGGTGCACAGTGCTCTGTAGCGTCGACCAGATGGCAACAGTTCAAAGAGGGGGTGTGCTGGATGTGAGGGGTTCAGAGTGATTTTGCCAGCCCTTTTTTTCACTCTGGATAAGTACAGTTCTTGGAGAGAAGGGAGGGTTGTACCAATGATTCGCTCAGCAGTCCGGACTACCCTCTGAAGTCTTCTGAGGTCAGATTTGGTAGCTGAGCTGAACCAGTCCAGTGATCTGTTGAAGATCTGTGTGAAGATGGGGGCCAGCTGGTCAGCACAGGATATTGGTACGCTTCACCCCCGAAAGTAATCCTCAGGAACTTCCTGTGAGTGGGAAGGATGGAGATGTGGAAGTATGCGTCTTTTAGATCTTTCGTGACAAACCTATGAAGTACCGGCTGTAAAACCCGGATTCTTTCTCGTGAAGAGGGACCACTTCGATGGCGTCACAGAGTGTTTACTTCCTGTTCCATTACCAGAGCCTGCTCGGGGCCGACCAACGTCGGAACAACCCTGCTGAAATGCGGTGGTGGAGAGCCGAACTGAATGCGATAGCCTTTTTCTATCGTGTGCAGGACCCACTGAGACACGTTTGGCAGTAGTTTCCATGCTGCTAAATAGTCTACTAAGGGGATCAGTCTCTCGAGTCTGACCTCTGGTGTAATAGGGGCAGCTAAATCAGTGCCCTGGAGCGGCGCACCGGCAGGGAACAGCCGATCGAACTGCTGTAAAGACCTCCGAAGAGGTAGCAAGCCTCTCAGCTCCGCTACGTTCCCGGTCGGAAGAAACTGAGAGCAGCGCTCACTGGAGACCGCTGCACCCTGGGACTCTGGCAGGGCTAACAGATCGATCTCCCGAGGGCACTGAGGCGAGACGGACACCGTATAATGCGGTGTACACCACTCCACCCCAGTAGGGGCAGCCCTCAGAAGTCCTGAGACTTCAACATCAGGACTTCTTCGCGGAGGACTTCTTAGCTTTTAAGGACAGCCCTTAAATCTTGTTTTTGCTTTGAAGTCCCCGGCCCAGAGCGTAGAAAAAGGCTATCGCGCTCTGCTTTTGAGCCTCCCTATATGAGGAGCTGGTATGCAGAGGTACCCCGAGATCGATGAGGGAGGAATCGCTGGAACGCCGCCACTTGTTTACGGGCCTCCTAGTACCTGTCGACGAGCAAGTTGACGGCGTCGCCAAACAGGCCAGAAGGCGCAAGCGGGCGTCCATGAGGCAGACCCTGTCTTTTTCTCTCATACCTGACAGGGTCAGCCACAAATGCCTCTCCGCCGCCACCATTGCTGCCATAGACCGCCCGATGGCGCGACTGGTCTTTTTGGTGGCACGGAGGGAGAGATCAGCGGTCCTTCTTAACTCAGAGATGTTCTCAGACTTGATCTCCTCTCCCTCGTCTAAGTCTTTCAGCAGGTCAGCCTGGTACGCCTGTAACACCGCCATAGTGTGCAGACACGCACCCGCCTGACCCACTGCCGCATACCCCTTGCCCACCAGCGCTGATGTTGTACGCAGTGGCTTGGTGGGCAGCACTGGAGCCTTCAGAGACGATGCCACGCCAGGGGACAGATAGCTCGCAAGCGTCTGTTCCACGCGGGGCATCGCTCTGTAACCGCGCTCATTCAATCCCCGCCACTCAATGTTTAATTTGGCTACCGCACGAGTCACCACCTCCAAAAGTGCATCCTCAACACTTTCCACATCGACCTACTTGGAGGAAGAGAGGCGCAGGTCAAGCCCTCTGTCCAGGGGGAAGAAACAGCGGAGCGAGCTTCCGATCCCAGAGAGGGCAAGGAGGAACACACATTCTGAAACGCGATCTGCTATTGCCCTTATGCTTTGTCTTAGCACTTGCTTTAGGCATATTGGAGCTTATTGTGGACAAACGACACCAAATAAGACTCACAAAACAGACTGAACGTACACACACACAAAGCGCTAGCTGAATGACAAAAAAGCTGACGCCGGTTCCACCTCACATGCTTTTATAGCTTCCTGGTCGCTACGTCACCCACCTATGACGTCTTGCCCTTCAATTGTACTGATTAAACATGTGATTCAGAGCGTGGTCACGCTGGGGGCGTTCCCATAGCGTCTTCGGACACAGCTCGAGTTCCTGAAGGAGATCATTAGGCTATTTTTAAAAAAAATGCTTTTTAATAGGGTGTGTTCGCAAAAGACAGCAGTTTCCAAACCCTGTAAAATAACATATTCTGCTGAGTTTTCAATGTTTGTTATTGCAGAACAAAATTTTTGTGGCTCTTTTTTCCTGGTTTTTTTTTCAGTTCTAAGATACATATACAGTATATATATTATTGTATATGAAAGTACCATAGTATCATAGAAACTTGGAAGCGGGCTCCTTATGACAAGTTTAGTTATTACTTGTTCAGTTGCTACTGAATTTTGATCAACATTTAAAAGGAAAGTATTGACATTTATAGGCATTTGTATGAGTTTAGGATGCCAGAAGCCTTTTATTTGAAACTATAAGACTTAAGAAAATAATGCTTGGAGAATGGACGATTCAGTGTTTACCATGTGATAAAACATTTCCATGGAGATGAGGAAGTGTCAGAAGAATTGACATTTATATTTAGATTAATTGTTCCGCATGTTAGCAACATAATGAATATATTCAAACATATTGGACTTTGTATTTATTTGGACATTCACACACATAAAAGTGGTTTACTGATGTAAAGTCAGTCTATTCAAACTTCAACTGTTTTATAGCCATGCAGGTACAGCTTGAATAAAGAAAGACTGAAATAACATTGGATTCTTCAGTGAATGACATTTGACCTGAAAATTAAGGCCCAATCCCAATTCTACCCCTTAGCCCTTTCCCTTTGTGAACGCGCAAAACTGAGGGGTAGACATGTCTCGATTCTCTTGGTTGGAGGGGTAGGGGTAAGGGGAAGGGCCAGACAGCCCTTCAAACTAAGATTTTTCGGGGACCACACTTCAAACAAAGGGGTATGAATTATCTCAACGCTGGCCTAAGTATCAAATTTAACTCTTGATTTATTTATTCTTTTCTGAGAATAGATAGTAGTCATGACATGGAATTTAAACAAACAGTTTTATTCAAATGTCTATCAGCAGTGTTTGAAAACCCTTTAAGAGTGTCTACATAACAATTTTTGGTAGATGCAGGTTGAATTACTGACAATCGGTCAGTGAAGTCAAACATTTAAGACCAGCATTCATGTAGCAATTTGCTGCTTTACGTAACACCTGTAATTCAAACTGACTCTCTCTCTCTCTCTATCGTCCTATCACAGTCCTGTCTGAATCACATGATGTAATTACAAGTCTAAACCGTCAAGTAACTCTATCTTTCTCTGTCCTTATGTCTCCTCTTGTCTCTTCAGAAAAGCTCTGATGGATTTGTTGGTGGATCTGTGCAGTCAGTATCATCTGAATCCAGCATATCATACTCTGGAGCTGTTGTCACCCAATGCTCAGCCCGTTATCTTTAAGCCCAACACCCTGCTGGGCACCCTGGACGTCTCCTGTGCTCTGATCAAAGAACGAGTGCTGGAGGACAAAGTGATCCGGAAACCTCCACCCAAAGTGCCAGAGGTAGGTTTCCGAAACAGTGTTCTGAAGGTTTTTGACCTCATACCTCATGGTGGTATCATTGACTTTTTGAAGATCTTTAAATTCTAGGCAGGCAGCAGCAACTGTGATGAAACTGGTTACTCTACTATTGGCAAGACTTCACTACTGTAGACAGACATTATATGTGACCCTGGACCACAAAATCAGTCTTAAAGGCACAATATGTAAGATTTTTTTATTAAAATATAAAAAAAAACACCAGAACAGTGTTATATATGTTTTGCTGACTTGTGTACTTACATTATCCCAAATGTTTCGAAGAATGTTTAAATCCAGAGAAATAAGCAATTTTAACTAGTGACACGGACCGTGTCCATAGTGTCATTGTGTCGCCTGCCAATGACGTCATAACCCCTCGATTTCCGGTTTTGTTTTGTAGAAAACATGGAAACACCAAAGAAGCTTTAATGTGTTGTGCATTTTAATAGACCGGTGACGACCGCACAGAGTAGCATTATAACAGAACTTTCAAATGTATCTAGTATGATAAAACAGCGCTGCTGTTTTTCCCCACATACGCACAACCGGAAGGAGCGGAAGCGGTCGACTGTGGCATAATAAAAGCTCCACTGCTTTCGAGCCGTGTGTCATGCTCCTTCAGCGGCCTCGTTTCGCTTCGACGGCTTTCAGCCGCACCCTGCTTCATTCAACTACGTTAATAAATCATTAGCTCATTCATGAACATGATTTCTGCCGGAGTCCCGTCGGATTGCATCGGCTGTGGAGATGAAGACGACAACTCCCATGATTCCACACTCAGTCGTGGCGTCATCAAACTACGCCTTTGTCTCTTTATTTATTTTGAATACGCGCCCTCTAGCGGCGAAAATTACATATTGTGCCTTTAAGGCACTGGGGTATATTTGTAGCAATAGCCAAAACTACATTGTATGGGTCAAAATTATAGATTTTTCTTTTATGCCAAAAATCATTAGGACATTAAGTAAAGATCATGTTCCATGAAAATATGTTATAAATTTCCTACTGTAAATATATTAAAACTGAAATTTTGATTAGTAATATGTATTACTAAGAACTTCATTTGGACAACTTTAAAGGCGATTTTTGCAATATTTAGATTTTTTTGCACCCTCAGATCCCAGATTTTCAAATAGTTGTGTCTCGGCCAAATATTGCCAAATATCCTATCCTAACAAACCATACATCAATGGAAAGCTTATTTATTCAGCTTTCATATGATGTATAAATCTCAATTTCGAAAAATTGATCCTTATGACTGGTTTTGTGGTCCAGGGTCACATATTGTAAATAATTTGCTTTGAAGGTCACCGGAGTGCACATGTCACACTACAGTCTACTTCTTGTTTAACTGCATCAGCCATATCAGTGTTTCCCACAGACTTACACTCTATTTGTGGCGGCATATATATGTTTATATATATCATGTTTATTCAACGAAGTCAAAGCCTTTTGGAAAATCTATTTGTGACGGTCAGTTTGATATTGTGGCGGTCGCCACAAATAAATCAATGTATGGGAAGCATATTAAATGCTCTCATTGTATGAAAAAGTGTTATCTTCATTGCAGTAGTTTTTAGTTAACAAGACCCCAAGTGCTAGACAGGAGGGACCTAGTGACACATGATTTAATCTAAATCAGTTTTAAACTTTAATATTTGTGTTGTTATTATGCATGCGTTTTTATTACCTCCTTTTCAATTGGAAAATACTTTAAATATTTGTACTTTAAAAAAATCGTCCCATTAGTGAACTGATAAAAGCTGAAAATGATTAAAATAGGTGAAAATGTAAATACAAATGATTTAATATAAATTATGTCCATGCTATTTATCAGCTACTCATATTCATGTATAGTTCGTGTTTTTAAAATAGCTTTTTACTTTACAAAAGTGTAATACTGATCTTACTCTTGTGTAATAATGTTCTTAAATGATGACATCTTGTTCTGGCTAAATGCGTCAGGAGGGTCGAATGATCATAAAAAGGGTTCGAGCAAAGGTACAGTAAGTCTTTCACAGGCTCTGCTCTGAGTGTGTGTTCTCTCTTTCTCGAGTGTCCTTTTCTCCTCCCCCTCATGTGTGAATATTTGATGAGAGTCTTACCTTTAGTTACCATGCATTATTTCTTCCTCAGCCTGGCTGGCTGGCCCCTCTCTTGCTCCTGTCCCACGTGTCTGACCTCTGGGCAGAGTTAGAGGCTCTGACCTCTGATTCTGCTAGAACAACAGTACAATCTGTCACTGGGCAGTTGAAAGCACACAGTACATAAGTATAGATATGTAAAGAAATAGAGTAACACAATTTATTTTCAATGTTCGTGAGGATATCAGACATAGACCACATGTGAGCTCAGAAATGTTTGACTAGAATAGAGAACAGGATGGTCAACCCTTTGGTTAGCTGACAAAGTGAGCAGGCTGTTATACTTGCTCAGCATGCTAAACCTCTTTCTGAGAACTTTAATCTCTAAATTCATATATATATATATATATTCTATAGCAAATGATAAAACCTGCATTACCTGTCTAATCTACCTTTCCGCCTACTAAACTCATACGAACACGACGATAGTATACGGTTTCAGTTAGCACTTTGTTTTTTTTTTCAGTGTGTTCTGAGTGTGCAGTGTCTGTTGTTTCATATCCATATAAGTCTGAGAACATGTGACAGTGGAGTAACAGTTTTTCTTCAAGTTGGATTACACTAACTAAAATGTGGAACAAAGCTAAAGAAGTGTTGTGTACCATTTTGTGACACCTCAGTCTTCTCTGGTGTGCTCTTGTTTGTCTCCACAGTACTATACAGGAAATGGCACACATTAAATGTCTTCTGTGCCTACTTTGACAGTAGGTTATTTACTATTATGTAGCTAGGATGACATCTAGCTGCCTAAATAAAGAGTTATTTGAATGTTTGAAAAGCAATATTAGTATTTGCATATGAGTAACTGAATTAGATAATGTGATTTATTGGTATTCAATGGAATCTTAAGTTCTGTTCTCTGAAGAAGCTTCTCTAAGCAGTGTATTGTGGTTGGTGTGATACTTCCTCTACAAGACACTGCAGACGTGCATATAATGTCTAATTTTGCCCACTTCTCATGTGAAACTTCAGAGATCTGTGTTGCATCTTATCTTATCTTGATCATGCATATGAAAATAGTCACAAAGTAGTGAGTTTGCTGCACTGCTGTCATGTACAGGAAGAGATCATTTGAATGTTAGGTACCATCCGGTCGGTTTACTCTTGATTTAAAATTTTTCCTCCATTAAAAAAAAAAATCCAGATTAAATACAACGTAGCTGCTGTCAACATGACTGCCTCCTGGATAAAAAAATTTGAGATAAATGACAATTGAATTGAATTACTATGGTAAGTTGACAGCATAAAGCTAAAGTTGTATTTAACTCCTTTAATATTCCTTTCAAAGCACATCTTTTTATTGTTCTTTTTATAATATAAGCTATTGAAAAGGATATTTCACCGAAAAGAAAGTTATAATTTTTTTTGGTGAGCTAATACATAGTATGTCTTAAATGTCTAAATGAACCTCCCTCATTCTTCACATCTGTTGCTCTTTCTTTCATCACATAGAAAACGGTGCGTTTGGTGGTGAACTATCACCACAGTCAGAAGGCCGTGGTTCGAGTAAATCCATTGGTCCCCCTGCATACCCTGGTGCCCGTGATCTGTCAGAAGTGCGAGTTTGACCCGGCCCATGTCTTGCTGTTCAAAGACATTATCAGCCACCAACAGCTGGACTTGGACAAGTGCCTGAGCGAGCTGGGTATCAGGGAACTCTATGTCCTGGATCAAACACTAGGTACAATGTCAGGACACTACAGTTGAAAATGATTGTGCTGCTTAATAATGTTGTGGAAACTGTGATACAGTTGTTCTTTCCCCAGGAATCTTTGATGTATAGAAAGTTCAAATTATGGGGAGATTTGCCACAATAAACAGCAATTTTATGTCCAATGGAAACCTTTGATGTAAAGAACAGCTAATAAACCACAAGTTTAGATTAAGTTTGATTTGAGATATTTCATTGTCAGGTCCAATACTTCCTGTTCAGACACACTCTTAGATGTATCCACTTATCATATCTTTGTTTAGCCAGTGCTATTATATAGTATACGGTTTCAGTTAGCACTTTGTTTTTTTTTTCAGTGTGTTCTGAGTGTGCAGTGTCTGTTGTTTCATATCCATATAAGTCTGAGAACATGTGACAGTGGAGTAACAGTTTTTCTTCAAGTTGGATTACACTAACTAAAATGTGGAACAAAGCTAAAGAAGTGTTGTGTACCATTTTGTGACACCTCAGTCTTCTCTGGTGTGCTCTTGTTTGTCTCCACAGTACTATACAGGAAATGGCACACATTAAATGTCTTCTGTGCCTACTTTGACAGTAGGTTATTTACTATTATGTAGCTAGGATGACATCTAGCTGCCTAAATCAAGAGTTATTTGAATGTTTGAAAAGCAATATTAGTATTTGCATATGAGTAACTGAATTAGATAATGTGATTTATTGGTGTTCAATGGAACCTTAAGTTCTGTTCTCTGAAGAAGCTTCTCTAAGCAGTGTATTGTGGTTGGTGTGATACTTCCTCTACAAGACACTGCAGACGTGCATATAATGTCTAATTTTGCCCACTTCTCATGTGAAACTTCAGAGATCTGTGTTGCATCTTATCTTATCTTGATCATGCATATGAAAATAGTCACAAAGTAGTGAGTTTGCTGCACTGCTGTCATGTACAGGAAGAGATCATTTGAATGTTAGGTACCATCCGGTCGGTTTACTCTTGATTTAAAATTTTTCCTCCATTAAAAAAAAAAATCCAGATTAAATACAACGTAGCTGCTGTCAACATGACTGCCTCCTGGATAAAAAAATTTGAGATAAATGACAATTGAATTGAATTACTATGGTAAGTTGACAGCATAAAGCTAAAGTTGTATTTAACTCCTTTAATATTCCTTTCAAAGCACATCTTTTTATTGTTCTTTTTATAATATAAGCTATTGAAAAGGATATTTCACCGAAAAGAAAGTTATAATTTTTTTTGGTGAGCTAATACATAGTATGTCTTAAATGTCTAAATGAACCTCCCTCATTCTTCACATCTGTTGCTCTTTCTTTCATCACATAGAAAACGGTGCGTTTGGTGGTGAACTATCACCACAGTCAGAAGGCCGTGGTTCGAGTAAATCCATTGGTCCCCCTGCATACCCTGGTGCCCGTGATCTGTCAGAAGTGCGAGTTTGACCCGGCCCATGTCTTGCTGTTCAAAGACATTATCAGCCACCAACAGCTGGACTTGGACAAGTGCCTGAGCGAGCTGGGTATCAGGGAACTCTATGTCCTGGATCAAACACTAGGTACAATGTCAGGACACTACAGTTGAAAATGATTGTGCTGCTTAATAATGTTGTGGAAACTGTGATACAGTTGTTCTTTCCCCAGGAATCTTTGATGTATAGAAAGTTCAAATTATGGGGAGATTTGCCACAATAAACAGCAATTTTATGTCCAATGGAAACCTTTGATGTAAAGAACAGCTAATAAACCACAAGTTTAGATTAAGTTTGATTTGAGATATTTCTAGGACACCACAGTTGAAAATGATTGTGCTGCTTAATAATGTTGTGGAAACTGTGATACAGTTGTTCTTTCCCCAGGAATCTTTGATGTATAGAAAGTTCAAATTATGGGGAGATTTGCCACAATAAACAGTTTTGGTGGCGTGTTGGGAAGCAATTTTATGTCCAATGGAAACCTTTGATGTAAAGAACAGCTAATAAACCACAAGTTTAGATTAAGTTTGATTTGAGATATTTCATTGTCAGGTCCAATACTTCCTGTTCAGACACACTCTTAGATGTATCCACTTATCATATCTTTGTTTAGCCAGTGCTATTATTACTTAACATACTCAAACACAGCATGCACTAAGCCTGTGACATTTCACTGTCCTTCACTGTCTAGCCAAATGTGATAAGATTTCTATTCACTTTTATTTGCCTTCAAATGTTATACTGGTTTGATTGTTTACAGTTCTCCAGCCTAAAATGGCTTCAACACCTGCCCTGAACTACTCAGGTACTGATGCCATGTGCATGACTTTGGCTGAATAGTTGTCACAGTGGCTTTACAGTGTGTGTAGTTAAACTGTGCTGAGAGTCTGCTTCCTGTCATAGAACATGCTGGAGCTTTTGCGATGGCCTTGTCAATAGAAATTAGACAAGACCTGCAGTGCCTATATTTATGTATTCATCTTTCATGCTTATTGTCACCGTGATGCTTTCATTGTCAATGCATTTGTCTTCAGAGAAACCTGTTACTTGTCCTGGTAATTCTTCTTTAGGTTTTGTAGCTGCTTTAGTGTTTTTTCATCTGATTTTGTTGACCTAGGGGCTTTGGAGTTTTGCAGGAGTGTAGCGCCATCTATTGCCAGAATTTTGTACTGCTTTTTGTGCATTGTGTGCTATTTATTTTTTGGCTTATAACTAACATTCAAAAATGTGGTGTTTGTAACCTTTTTTAATGTTAAAGTGTCTTATGCTCAACAAGGCTGCATTTATTAATCAAAATAACAGTAAAACAGTAATGCTGTGAAATATTACAATTTAAAATAACTTTATTCGAATACATTTTAACGTAATTTCTTTTTGCTTTTTAATATTTTGGTGAAAACCTTGATAATTGTTTCAAGATTTTTTGATTAATAGATAATTCAAAAGAACATCATTTGTTACCATATGTTACATAAATCTTACCACAAACTTTTAAATGGTAGTGTTTGTAAAAATTAAAGATTGAACTTGTTGTTATGACATTGGCTTTGATGTGGCGTTTCATTTACAGAGACCAAGTCTAAATCCTAAACTCACAAAAAACTTTAACGCTACTGGTTTGCTGACGTGCAAACACTAGAATTTATTCTGCATACAGTATGCTAATATTATATCTTCTATAATCCATTGTTCTCATTAGCCAGCTCAAAATTAACCACTCCAACTAAAGTAACATTGCTTGACTCGCTTCTACGTTAAAATAGTTGCTCCTGCGTGTTTGTGTAAGATGCTGAACGGATGTGTTTCTCTTACAGCTGAATCTCTTCACTCCAACAGTCTGAGTGGATCAGAGAAAAAGGGTCTGCTGGGCTTCCTCAAGTTTAATCGCAGGAAATCAAAGGTAGAACACAGCCTCACGTGTGCAGGATTGGACACACACTCATTCATATTTTTGTCTGTTTAAACCTTTACAGTGCTAAGATGTTAGAATGCTGCATGTCCAAAAATATATAGACGTAGAGCAATAAACACTTGAACCCATGGATATGCTGGGGGAAACTAATGCATATTGCAAAATATAATGAAAAAGAAACATTTTGTTGATATTTCAGTGTTTGAACCCTGCATCGCATGGTTTTCATTGATATTATGAGTCTGCGTGCCATGCTAGTGTTACATTCCCATTTCAGACTGAAGATCAGTCCTCTGAGGACATGGACAGTCTTGATGATGATAGTGTTGTTGACAATGCAGACACTAACATTAATGTAAGTACTAACCCATGTAACTGTCTCTTATTAATACGCTGTCATCTTTCCATCTGTCACAGTTTTCAGTCTTTTAACACAATTATACTGCCTGCAGGATTCTTCTACTTTTTGTTCTTTTCACAAAATGTGTGCCAAATAGCACCATACTCTTTTGTGATTCATAGTTATTTATTGTGTCAACGAGCAAACTCTTCTTTTAATTCTATAAAAAAAGAATTACTTTTGGTCCTGAATGCTGATTGTAGGGGTGTTACGATTCACTCGTTCGTCTCACTGACACATCTTTTGAGCAGCTGATGTGTAATCTCTCCTTAGTACTTGTGGCCAGTATTGTTAAAGTGAAGTAGTTTTGCTTTTCTGTAGTTTTTCAATGGCTCTCGGTCATACCGGCGAGTCGACGACATTACCTGAGCAGTCGAAGGCTGCGCATTTATTGCATGGACGGAGCAAAAATTTAAGTGTCTAAAGCATACGCACAGTTCCATTGAATGATAAATGTGTTTTAACAATGTTGTTAAACCGAATGTACGAAGGAAACTGTTAAAATAACCACAGCATTAACAACCTTGAAATAAGAGCGCAAGGTTTATCTGATAATCAGATGCATGAAAGTAGCGTTCGTTGCTATAGCAAACAGACATCGGGCGCGTTTTCTTTCAGAATCATCATTCGCCGATGGAGAGGAAAAGTTAAATAGCTATTGCATTTTATTTTATGAAAATGAGATAAAGAAGTTTTCGCACTGAAAGAGAAGTGATCTCGCGCTCACAGACGTACCAGGCTATATCTGCAGCTAAACTGTATAAAAAGCAGAATGTGAACTGAACTTAAAAAAAACTGAAACGTTAAGACAATAAACACAATAAATAAATACAATTTATGAATGGTGTAGTGCTAATTGACATATAATTTATTACAATAAAGAAACTATAAAGTATATATATTTGTTTACCTTATTCTGTGCAGAAAATTGAAATAATTGTTTGTAGTATATAAAACAATCATAAAATTGCCATTAGGAAAAAAATATATACTACAAATGATTGATTATTGTCCAGCAGTGTATTTGATTTCTTATAGCAAATTCAAAGTAAGAGATAAGAAAATAATTCCTTGTAATAAAAATAATAATGATAATAATACATACATACAGTACATACATAAAATTATTGTATTTGACATTTCTATCGCTTCTGAAATGATGGCTGCACGCCCTGGCGTGACAAAATGTTAGCCTATACATAATACTTTTAAAGCTCTTTTTTTAAAATCTTGGCTTACATACATTTCTACATATGCCATGTCATGCCATAGCATCATTAAACTAGCATCAAACAATGGACAAAAGTGTTTTTTTGTTTGTTTGTTTGTTTTCTAACCTATGGTTCTGTAACCATTAAGGCTGCTGTGTAATTTGCCCCCTGACTAAGCATTTAAAGAATTTAGGGGAAGCATTTAAATAATCCTGTGAATGCACTTAAAGAATGCAGAATCGAATCGTTAATCGAATCGAATCGAATTTAATTGTGAATCGAATTGAATCGTTCTAAATTTGCAAAAATTGTCCTTGAATCGAATCGAAAACCTATGAATCGTGAATCGAATCGATTCACTGTCTACCCAAAAATTCACAGCCCTAGCTGATTGGTCAATGATAAAAAGCTGTTGTATGTTTAATGTTTAATAAAATAATACATTTAAATTAATATAATAATAAAAGGGTTTTCATTAATGGAAATTTGTGGTTTTAATATTTGTATAAAAATTAACTACTTAAAGCTTCTAATGAAAGGTTTACAGAAAATCCACACTCCTTCATTAAATGTATTTTTTTTCCAGGTTTAACCTCTAGGTGTCAGTAATTACTTGGGCAAAAAAGTGATCTTCATGAGTGCTCAAACACATTTATTTACCTAGATGATACAGTTTGACTTTTTATCAACATACAATAATTTACAATAAACTTAAGTTTTCCTTAAGTCACTAACACCGTTCAAACTACATTCAGATGGATCTGTTTGCCGTGGATCGTTTGTATCTAAGCAAGAGAAGTCCTCAGAATTCTCTGCTGGTACTTTAACTGGCTCTTGGATGACCTTTTTTATTTTACCACTAATGCAAGTTACTTAGTTTTCTGAATGGGGATATTCCGTATACTACATTTTTTATATACTGCTAGTTATACATGCTATAACCTAACCCTAATCCACACACTTTCTGGATTTAATGTATATAATAAGTAAGGGATAATGTACATCCAGCCATTAACCCCCGACAGAGTGGTCAGGACCCTGACGCGAAAGGGTTTATTTTGTGATGACAACTGACTGTATGTGCATTATCCCGCTTATTACATGGCTACTTGCCACACAAGTAAATAATTAGACACCAAATATTAATCTGAGTTGAAATATTTGAAGGCAAAGCTTCCGTGAAGAAAGCAGTTGCTAACAAGTGGCAAGTTCAAATTAGACAGACATTTAAAGCATACGGTACAGTCATACTACTTATTACACAGCATTATATTAATATTCCTAGTAAATGTATAGTGCCATCTTCAGTTACACCAATGAGCCTGAGTTATCAGCTTTTACCGGTTGTTATCAAGGAATAACATACCTCGGAATGACACGACTGACCAATCAGAATCAAGTATTCCACAGAGCTGTGTAATAATATTTGATAAATGCCATATCAAATTTAGCTTACTTCTGGGTACATATTTGGCTCCCATTATATGGTTAAGTAGCTGCATTCACACACACTTGATCCTTCAGAGATCTCTATTTCTACACCCACATTGCTATGTCCATCTTCCTTCTTTCAGAGAAGCACTGCTCTTGAAGACACTCAGACACATGCGCTGAACAACTCGGTTGTCCATAATTTATTATGGACGTTATTTTATTTCATTTATTATAGTTATTTTCTTCCTGTATCCAATCGGCCTGCCAAACAGCCTTTTTACGAAGGGCTGTGCTCTGCCCTGCTCTACGTGCTCCCTACCTGTAATTATACAAGATCAGGTGCACGCTATTTACAATATCATCACAAACAGAGCCAAGAGCCAATTTCAGCGATCACAACAGTGGCTATGATAGGACAGCTGTGATTATTTTGTCTTAGTTAGGCCTGTCGCAATAATCAATATATCAACTTATCGCGCAATATATGTACATGACCTCAATAATTTTTGGCGACACAATATAATCGCCCATTATATTTACTTAAAAATGTATGTCCCCATGTTTTGTACATTCCACTTGTGCTTGTGTCTTTTGCAGCTTCTTGTACATAACATGGTGTAGTCATGAGGTGCTAGTTCAAATAAAAAAAATGCTTCAACAAAAAAAAGTTGAATCTGCAGATATGGTCTTGTTTAGGGATCTGTGTCTTTGTGCATACGGACATCTGACTGCTGAGTAGTGATTGTGTTTTTCAGCAATAGTGTGCACCCTTAATTTACAGAGAAAAGAAGGTCCGGGAAAAATCTGTAGATGGAAAAATCTCCATACCAGTTATTTGTGCATTTTTCTTTTTTTTCTACTTGTTACTTTGCACTTTTTGTTAGAAAATGTTTATTTACTATTTATTCAGGTTTTTTAAGGTATCTAATATTTTGATACTTAATTCCCATGGTTTAAATATTCTTAAAAATTAAAAGTTTGTTGTCATTTGGAAGTCTGTAGGCCGCCTTGCATTATTTTGCTGTTACATTATGATTATATATTCAGTGGCATAAAATGATCTTTAAAATGACAATAATATCGCTTATCGCAATTATTTCTGGGGCAATATATCGCACAACAAAAAGATTGTTATCGTGACAGGCCTAGTCTTAGTGCTCTTCCAGGTGTCAGTGTGTTTGTTTGTGTAGGTGTGCGTGTTTGTGTCTCTTAAGTTTTTTATGTCTAGTTTGGATCATATGTCTGTTCGTTACTCTGCTTTCTTCTCAAGTCAAGCTGCAAGACTGCATACTTTCTCTCTCTCTCGTTCCAACCGACAGCTAAGCTCTCACTCAAACTGTCATGCAAGGTTCTAGAAGATCCGGTGTCGTTCCTGTCAGTGTTTGCCAGATCTCTCTGCTCTCTCTTAAAGGAACATCCGCTCTGTCCTTTCCACACCTTTGTGTGTTATGTAAATGCATATCCCTACTTCTCAGCTTTTGTTTGTAAGGTGAAGTGTGCAATTTTGTGACATTAGTGGCCACAAATTTAAATTGCAAAAATAATGTTTGTTTTCCAACGGATTTCCCAGACATTTTTGCCATCCCTTCCTGTCTAAAATTGTTTGACTAAGCAGGTAGTCACACCTCAATGTCACGCCAAACAAACAGAATGTTTTGTAAAAAAAACCTCTGTTAGGAGTAGATGAATGGCTTACTTTTTTTTTTTTGACTTGTAGCTGTCTCTGCCACGGTTGGCCGAAATTCTGAATTTAAAGGGGTCATATGATGCGATTTAAATTTTTCCTTTCTCTTTGGAGTGTTACAAGCTCTTGGTGCATAAAGAAGATCTGTAAAGTTGCAAAGACTAAAGTCTCAAAACCAAAGAGATATTCTTTATAAAAGTTAAGAGTTATCCACGCCCTCCTAAAATGGCTCGTTCTAACACGCCCCCACATACCTACGTCACGATCTGGGAAGGTTTGCATAACGCCGCCCAAATGTTCACGCAAAGAAAGAAGGCGTAAATTTTAGTCTCGCTGTAGTTTTGTTGACGCTGCAGCCATGTCCTGAAGACGCTGTGTGCTTGGTTGTGAAAGCGAAACTACTTTGTTTGGTCTCCTAAAAGAGGACGATATCCTCTTCGTCATGCCTTGAGCTGATCCGTGCTGGTCGCTGAGGGAATACATCAACTTTCACCGCGGACAAAGCGGAGTCCAGCCCGCCTCAGCTCACGCTAAGCCGGGGCTTCCCCTCACGCTAGGCCGCTGTGTTTTTCTAAAAAGACAGTATAAGTCATTATAATCAGTAATTGTGTCCCCACTGGATGCAA